GGAAGTAGTGAAATAGAAAAGTATAAAAAGACAGAAAACCAGAAATTAAATTCTAACTTTTTAAAATGGTCAATAAGAGTGATAAAATTCTAGCCAGATTAATCCGGAAAAAAGAGAAAAGATGGATTATAATAACAGGGATGAAAGAGGGTACATGATTACAGATCCTGTAGACATCACATTGGACAACTTAGATGAAATTAGCAAATTCCTTGAAAAACACAGAACTACCAAACCTCGTTTAAGAAGAAATCGAGGGGCGCCTGGGTGGCGCAGTCGGTTAAGCGTCCGACTTCAGCCAGGTCACGATCTCGCGGTCCGTGAGTTCGAGCCCCGCGTCAGGCTCTGGGCTGATGGCTCAGAGCCTGGAGCCTGCTTCCGATTCTGTGACTCCCTCTCTCTCTGCCCCTCCTCCCTTCATGCTCTGTCTCTCTCTGTCCCAAAAATAAATAAACGTTGAAAAAAAAAAAATTAAAAAAAAAAAAAAAAAGAAATCGAAAGCCTGAATAGTCCTCTCTGTATGTGTGTATTAGTTTTTTTTTTTTTTTTTTTTTTTTTTTTTTTTTTTTTTAATTTGCAATGAAAACCTTTCCACAAAAAAACCCTTGTCCTTGAAAGCTTTCCAGGGACATTTTATCAGACATTCCAAGATCAAATAATACCACTTCTACACAGAGTCTTTCAGAAAAAGAGGAGGGAACACTTCCCAACTCATTACATTCACCGTGAAAGAAAACTACAGACCAGTATTCCCTATAAAAATAAATTGAAAAACCTTCGACACAGTTTAAGCCAAGTGAATTAAAATAAAAAGGATACTTTTGACTAAGTGGGATTCATTACAAGAATACAGGTTGGTTCAACATTTGAAAATCATCAGTGTAATTCATCATATAAACCAACTAAGAAGGCAAAACTATATTATTATCTCAATAGATCCAGAAAAGTCATTTGACAAAATTCGGTACTCATTAATACTAAAAACTCTCAGTGAAATAGGCCATAAGGAGAACTTTCTTATCTTGTTAAATGGAATCTCGTAAAATCCTGTCATTTACATCATACTTAGTGATGAAAGACTAAATGCTTTCTCTAAGATCAGGAACCAAGGGAATGATGTTTGTTTGCTCTTGCCACTTCTATTCTGGATTGTATGGAAATTATAGTTAGTACAGTGGGGCAAGAAAAGGAAGTCAGAGGCATCCAAGTTGGAAATGAAGAAATGGAACTGTGTATGTAGGACATCTCAAAGAATCCACAAAAAAGGCTACTAAGACTAATAAATGAGCTTTGTACAAAGTTATTATACAGAAAATTGTATTTCTATGTGCTACCAATGAACAATTGAAAATTTAAAAATTAATTAACATGAAAACATTTACAATAGCACCCAGAATATTAATACTTAAGGAGAAACTGAACAAAATTTTGCAAGGCCTATATATTGGGAACTGTAATATATATAAAGGATTACATATTATGTGATTCCATTTATATAACATTATTTAAATGAAAAAAAAATGATAGTGGTGGAAACAGATCAAACTGCCAAGGGTAGGGTTGGCAAGAAAGTGTGATTATATACAGGGATAACATGAAGGATTTTCTTTGGTGAGATGAAACACTTCTGTATTCTGATTGTGATAGAGATTACCCTAATAGGTGTATGTGATAAATCTACATAGAACTGTACACACACACACAAAGTGCATATAAAAACAAGTAAAATCTGAACAATGTCCGTTTCCTTGTTGGCTAATAGTATGTACCAATGTAAACTTTCTCTATCAAATACCAATTTTTGATAATTGTACTATGGTTATGTCAAATGCTCTCATTTGAGTGAAGCTGGGTGAAGCATTGCCAGGAACTCTGTACTATTTTTGTAACATCTGTGTTGGTTTAAAATTATTTCACGGTAAACAGTTTTAAGAAAAAGACACTGTTAAAATAGAAAGGCAAGCCACAGACTGGGAAAAAATGCTTGCACATCTGATAAAGGATGTATATCCAGAATATATAAATAAGCACCAAAACAATCATATTGTTAAATGGGCAAAATAATTAATTAGCTACTTCACAAAAAAAAGATGTAGCATATAAGCCCATGAAAAAATGTTCAGCATCATTAATTATTAGGAAATGCAAATGTAAGCCACAGTGAAATACCACTGTGCACCCGCTAGTAAAATCTAAAACCACAAGAAATTGGCAATCACAAGAAGGTTACTTTGCTTACTTTTGCTTACTTTTACTTACTTTGCTGGTAGGAATGAAAAATGGTATGGCCACTTTGGAAAACAGTTTGGCAATTTCTTATAAAATTAAACGTAAGAGTCAAAAACCCCATTCCTAGGTATTTACCCAAGATGAATGGCAGGGGGAGTGTGAATGTTTATACTAGCGTTATTTGTAATAACCTCCAGACTGGCAACAATGCAAATGTCCAAATGGTACATCCACACAATGGAATACTATTGGGTTGTAAAAAGGGATGCAGCATAGATTGTTCTGCCTAGAAAACTCCCTTATTTCCGTGTCTGGTTAACTCATAATCTGTGTTCAGATCCTGCTCAGACATCACAGCATAAAGGGAATTTTTTCTTGAGCCCAGACTAGCAGGCTTGCTTCTATCAGCATCCTGTCCTTTCCCTTCACTGCTCTTATCACAACCATAGTGATACACCAGCAGATTCTAAGCAATGTAAGGTCTCCTTATCTGTCTTAACTGCAAGTTCTGTGGATGGCCAGATGCTGAATACTATTGTGTTTTGGTACCCAACATAGATTTTTACTCAGGCGTGCCGGTAAATATTGTACAGCTGATAATGTAAGTGAGTAGAGTTTTCTATTTCCTTTTTGTAGGAGTGGCAGCTGTGGCTTCTACAGAGGGTACTACTGGCTGGGTCTGCCTACTTAACCTTGGGTACTCTGCCTGCTATCCCTGCTCTGTTCTGGGGTGTTGTAGCTATCATTGCTCAGCTGCTGCCACAGGTTAGTCTAGACTTCTGCGTGCATACCATGGGCACTCCTGCTCCTGGGCCATTCTGTTCTGAGAATAAAGAGAAGCCTTTCCTTGCCATTAAGGAGGCTCTGTGCTCAGTCTCTGGCCATATGTGCAAATTACCAGAGAGCATTATTACTGTCTCCAGGCCCTGGGCCGACCTAGTTTCCAGGATAAATGTGTAGAATATTTGATGAGGGCGCTGACACCCAATGCTTCCTTCTTTTCCTCTTTTCACTTCTCTTTCTATTTCCCTACTCCAGTAGACAAGAAGGAATTCAGGTTAAGTTAAGAAATTGGTCTGGGTAACCAATACCTATATTTGATCAGCCTACGGGTATATCTAAGTGTTTAAATCATGAGCAAACTTTTTCCTTTAAGCCTCTGGTTCCACTTAGGTAGATTGATGACACTTGTCATTTCAGACACTTCTGTCTGGAGCGTTATATGACTAGTTTTAGTTACTAATTTTGGAAGTGTTTCTCTGGCCCCTCTTTAATTTATCCAAATCATTGATCCGACTTTTCAATTGCTCTCAATTTACTTACCTTCTTTTTTAAAGCTTACACCGTTTGGACATTTTTGTTTAGTTTCTGTTTATTCTTAACGCCATCACATCTAAGAATTCTCATTAATTTTAATTTTCTCTCTTATCTGGATTGGTACAATAGCTTACTAGTTTTGCAACTAGTTTTACAACTCTTGCTCCGCCTCCTCTTGGAGTGTAATCTCCAGGTAGCAGCCAGGGAGCTGTTCAGTGGTTTCTGTCCTACTCTGGGAATTAAACTGTTAGAATCCAGTTCATGAGCTTCTACATAGTCTGGCTCTAGGGCTCAATACAGTGCCTGGTGCAGGTTAGACACTTAGTAATTCTTAGTGTTTGTTAAATTGATTCTTTGCATTGTAAGTCTAATCAGGATTTTGTTTTTATTTTTGTTTTTATAGGCGTTGCCTTGCAACCACACACACAAACAGTAATTCTTTAGACTTAACTGGTTTCTAGTCTTATTGTGGGATGTGGGGAGTAGGTTGGAGCTGTCTTGCATGCATTTTGCAATAGGCCACTTCTGTCTAGAATGAGTAATAGGTATGTCAATAAATACAGCCCAAACAAGTAGAAGAAGACTTCCTTGGCTTATAATCAGGCATGTGGCAAAGAACTGTGGTCAGAACTTAGGTTATGCTTCTGAGGCCCCACAATTCAGAACAGTATATTGCTTTATTTCATATCCTAATATACTAAATGCTTTTCTCTATATATTTTCTCATTTTCCACTTTGTTATCTTTTTATTTTATTGTATAGTTTCTACCCTTCTTCTCATCCTTTCAACCATTCTAACAAGATATGCATTACACCCTGGGTGTTGCTGTTGGGGGTCAGGGGCATGGTGACAGCACTGTACTGTGTTTGTTAGGTAGGGGTGATACATGCTAACCAACTTACTTGCCTGCCAGTTGGTTGTTTCTTCCATGTCACATTAAATGAGTTTGCAAATTATGATGGTATCAATATCTCACAAAAATTAAGTTTTCAATAATCTATAATAAATACATAAAATGACTGGTTTTAAATTTTAAACTATGGAAGTGACCTTAAAAGCATGTTTAGTTATAATTATTTGCTTTTGTTAAAATGTTTTTACAGTTTTCCAATAAGTTAAGACATGTATGCATATTAATACTAGTGACTTACAGTGAAGAAATTGTTTACCCTTGTAAAAGCTTTGTTTTGTTTTTAACTATCAATCCTCTGCTTAAGTATGGCAGATGCTAACCAAGTTCTGAGGTATTTTTTCTTTCTATTTGTGTTTTAATGTATTTTAATGAAGTAGCTCTTTTACCGTGCTGTAGCAGTCTGTGTTACTATCAGTGAACAGAGTGAAGACTCGAATTTTAAGATTAAATACATTCATTTTGTTAACATCACATTTTGTTCCATTTTGCAGCTTCTCGGTGAATATTTGGATGAAGCCATTAAATTAATTGTTTGCCATCATGAGCAGAAGCAAGCGTGACAGCAATTTTTATAGTGTAGAGATTGGAGATTCTACATTTACAGTTTTGAAACGATATCAGAATTTAAAACCTATAGGCTCAGGAGCTCAAGGAATAGTATGGTAAGTTTTACTTCCAAAAATTAGGCAGAGAATCATTAACTGCTATCTTTTCTCCTCTTGTAATATAGATACCTTGGTAAATATGTAACTTGCTTCAAAAAAGTTAAAATAAAACTATGTTATTTAAATTAAAGCTATAACATGGTAATAATTTTGTTCTGGGTTGATGTTCTTTATTATTCATTAAACACAACTTTATAAATCAGCACTGTCATCTTTAAGTATAAATTATGATTAAATACGTGGTCATAAGCCATGTAAAGACAAATAATCTATATCAGGAAAGAATAAGTGGCATGCTTGTTAATTCCATGTATACATCTATTCCCATAGCTACTTTAATAAGAAGCTTCACTTAATCATCATTTTCACACTACAATGAAACTCTGGAATTTCAGAAATCTTATTTTATACTGGGGAATGAAGTGAGCTCATTTTTCACTGTATGTTTCAAAAACTCATATGTATCTTTAAAACTGATTTACAAGCTAATTTCTGCAGTGGGCGTAGGCTTTATAGATCAACATAATTCTTAATAAACTGAAGTGTAGAATACTTTTTGGGACAGTTCTGCTAATGATTTTAGATCACTAAGTTAGCATAATCTAGTGCTTTGGGGAATTCTTAGCCTCGCTCTAGCGTAATTATATCTTTATTACCTTTTCTTGACCAGATTTGTCTCAGAATCTATTAAAAATCATAAGTGTTTATGACCCTGCAGGTCTCCCCCAGGTTCCAGAAAAACACTTGCATATGTACCTAAAGAGACTTTTCTTTGCAACACTGTTTATAATAGCAAAAATTGTTAATAGCAGTGAGTCTATCCATGAGAATAAAAAATTGTGATATATTCATACAGTAAAATACTATACAATATTTAGGATGAACTGGAGCTGTGTTTCAACAAAGACAGTTTCAGAGTTGTAGTGTTGTTGAGTTTAAAAGGAAGATGCGGGATACATATACCTTATAATACCATTTATATATAGTTGAAAATATACAAAATAGTACCATATATTTATGGATGTATATGTATGTAGAAAGCTATAAAAACATTAATAACACCAAATTCTTCAGAATAATGTCTACTTCCAAAAATAGAGACAAAGAAAGGGGACTTTATCTGTGAATTTTTTTAAAATTCAGAGCAATTGTGGTAAAATGCTAAAATCTCTCACATTTCTGTAATAGGAACAGTAGCATTTATTCTCTTTTTTGTACTCTCGAAATAAGTTATAATACGAAAAATTACAGAATTTGGGTAACTTTTTTTTCATTTTTAGTATTTTGGGTAACTTTAAAAAGTAGTATTGGCTGGCTGGTTGTCATTTTAACCAACCACATTTAATCAACCACAAATTCATTGTAAAGAAAATAATGCGGTATAAAAGGATTCTGAAAGCCAGCTTATGGCTCAGATTCTAGCTTTATGATGTACTAACTTTGTGATTAATGGCAAATTAATATTGCTAAGCCTGTTTTCTCACCTGATTTATATTATTGTGAGGAATATGGTATTTATATACATACATACATACATACATACACACACACATATATATATGTAATACATGAACATATATATAAAAGTATATATATAAATGTTTTTTCTGTACCTTCACTTATCCTCAGGTAAGTACATTTTGAAATTTGTGTACCAGAATTAAAAAAAAAAAAAAAAAAAAAAAAAAAAAAAACTGCTTTGGAAGGGACCTCAAGCCATCTTAACCAGCCTCTGTTTTGTCCTAAGGAATAAGTGTCTTCAAATATTTTGCTTATTCTTTCAGAAAAGATTATTATGAAATAGACAAATATTAAGCTAAAAAGTTTTTAAACTCACTGTGTGTGTTTACTATCACTGTCAACTGAAGAAATTAATTGTTTTAAGGCATTATTTTGGACCCCAGTGATAGATGGTAAGATTCATTGGGATCTGGATTGATCTCTAATTTGTACACATTTAAGTATCAACAATTAGAAATCTAACTTCCTTGGATACAAAATAGTACAACCTACTCAGATACTTTTGAACCTCTATAGTTTAAAATGTTACTTTGATTTAACACAAAAAATTAATAGGAATGAATTTAATGGTTAAAAGTAAAACATACTTTATCTGAAACAGTCAAAACTTTTAATCATCTTTAATGACCCCTTATGTTGTGGGTGTTGTTTTTTAATTTGGGGAGAACATATACACAAATATGGTATTTTCTAACTAAAGAGTATAATATTTATGTCTGTTTTGCTATGTGTATGCATATGTACATATATAGGAAATAAGTTATGTCCTATATATTATGTATAGATGCGTCCATTTATGCCAAAGTGCTCATTTCTTAATACATATTTTTTCAGTACATTTGATACAGTGAGATTGGATGAGAGAATAATTTTAGTCAGTAGTGTGCTAACTTTCCAAATATATAAACAGAAGTCTTCAAGTATGTTAGGTAGTCCAGTATGAAAAGCATAACCTTATGTCTTAGTCTTTTGGTCTCCGCTTTGCTTTTAAAAGTTTCTTTCAATCATAACATTCTATAATTTTAAGGTAATTTACCTTATTTGTGCTTTACTGTCTCTGGTCTGTCATTTGTAAAACATGATGTTTCGTCAGTATCATATGGTAAAGATATGAAGAGTAATGAGTATGGTGTTGCTGTATGTCACAGAATTATGTGTTTCAGTAACAGTTATGAAGCATCTTCTAATGTCCTGAAATCTAGCATTCATATCTATAGGCTTGATTTTTTAATTCCCTTCTCCAAAACAAATTTTAAATACTTTTACATTGTAAAATAACCCTTTGTATAGCTCTGTATGTATGTTCCTTCCTCTTTCTGTATTCATTTTGTTGTGTCCAAAGAAGTTGGAAGTGATCTACTTATGTCGAATTCTTCAGAAAGTATTTTGGGTAGAATTTATGACCACACGTATTCTTTAATCCTGTCTGCCCTTGGTGTAGGTGCAAAGTGAAGGATTCATCAGGCTTTAAGCTATGTATTGGGCCTGAATACTCATTAAACATTTATGCATTGAGTGCCCATTGTATGCTAGGGAAATCTTGGAGGACACCCAACTAACAAGTACAGTTTCTGCCTTCACAGTCCATTGTCTCTTTGCATCCATTAACGTTTTAAGAAGCAGTTAACAATGCTATACATTGTTGGAATATGCTGTAATAGGTATAGAAAAAACATGTTGCCTATCAAACACTGGAAATTGATACAGTTGCATTTATCTTTGGAGAGAGTAAGGAATCTACATGAATGTTTCATAAATTCAGTTTTGTAGATTTTAAAGCTTTGTTGTTGTTTTTGAATTTCTTGTTACAGTGCAGCTTATGATGCCATTCTTGAAAGAAATGTTGCAATCAAGAAGCTGAGCCGGCCGTTTCAGAATCAGACTCATGCTAAACGGGCTTACAGAGAGCTAGTTCTAATGAAATGTGTTAATCACAAAAATGTAAGTGAACATTTGAGAAAATGTTGTAAGTATAGATGAAATCAAGATTTGTTCATGAATACATAACCAACAAAACTTTTAAAAATATTAGGTGCTTTAAATGCTCTTCCGGTTTGAAACATTATCTAAAAGGGATATATATATGTCTGCAGTGTGAATTTTTCTCAATTTTATTAAATTATATCAAAAGAAAGACAGTTGATGAAATTTAGATTGTGTAGTTTTTTATTTTTCAAAAGTAGTTTTAAAAGAGGTAGGTGTTTTAGAAGAACTTGATTTAGACTTGATCTCGTCTTCTACTTTTTGTTTTCTGGCAGGCTGACATTTCAGAAAACTGTAGCCTTAGCACAGAGGTGAAATTGTTCCCATTTTACTTTGACAATAGTTATTTTATTTAATATTGGATATAAAATAGAAATCATTTCTCCCTACCCCACTCCTGGTTTTTTAAGTGATGCTGGTACTCACTAGTGACTTTAAGTTGAAGATAGTCAGTGATTTTATGAAGCAGTTTAGCAGAAACTTCACAAGATACTTAAATTAGGAAAGCATTCCTAATTCTTTTTCCTAATGATTATAAAGACTTAAGCATATAACTTTCATTCATTTTGAGAATTGTTAACACTTTGTAAAACTTACTTTCAGCATACTTTCATGATTACTTTAATGGAATGATTTTTATAAGCCAAGAGGAAATAAACTAGGAGTAAGTTATGCAAGGGACGGTTTTATGAAGTACTAAACCAAAAGCGTCTGACTGGAGATGTTTTGTGGTATATTTGTCTAAAGGAGTTTATAAAATACAGTAAGCTCCATGCTTTCTGATTGCAGATAACACAGTTTACCACATTTTGAGAACTAACTGTGCAAGTTTCTGTGTACTGGAGTTACTAGTCACTGTCGGGGAAGGATGAGGCTCCTGATTTGGGGGAGCTTATTACAGTGTTATTTTGAAGACAAATAACAGAGAGTGAAATACCGAATATGATAAAGCGGTAGAGGTTTGATTGTCATATCATGGTGGGTGGAAAATAAGTGCTGAGATTTCAGGGGAGAGAAGATTGCAGTGAGCTTTCATGAAATGGGAATGCTTTGGGGAAGGGTGACCCTAGACTAATTCTTAAAAATGGGGTAAAAATTGGATTGTTAAAGAAAAAGGGCCTCCCAGAGAAAAAGAACAGCATTTAAAAAGAGATACAGTTTAAAGTCCGTCAGTGACAGCGAAGAAGTTGTGTCACCATTCTTGTTTAGGTGGGAGCCAGCCATGTTGCTTGTCTGGGTTTTGCTGGTGTTCTTTCCCTCTCAGATGGAGCTGCTTATGCCTCTTGTAGCCTGTTTCGTGGCAATGATGGTGGTGATACTGCCTTAGTTTTGCACTGGGGACATGGCCAGTAACTCCCTATTTCCTGAGCCAGCCGACTGCAAAAATAGATGGTTCCATCGACTAAATGGAGGGCATGGAAAGCTTGTTTCACATAGTTAGCCCTCTGCTGGGGGTGGCAAGATCCACGTAGGCAGTACCCTTGGCACCTAGAAGAGTGCTGACTGACGTAGAGTAGATGCTCCTAACATATTTGTTCAGAGAATGAATATAAAACTAAATACAATTGACCCTTGAGCAAAGTGGGCATTAAGGATGCTGACCCTCTGTGTAGTTGAGATGTACATATAACTTTCAACAACCCCAAACTTAACTGCTAATAGCCTACTATTGACTGGAAACCTTACCAATAATATAAATAGTCGATTAACACATATTTTGTGCATCGCATGTATTGTATTCCTTTATTTTTTTTAATTTTGAGAGAGAGCACGAGTTGGGGAGGGGCACAGGGCGAGAGAGAGAGGAGAGAGAGAGAAAACCCCAAGCAGGCTCTGCACTGTTAGTGTGGAACCTGATGCAGGGCTTAAACTCGTGAACCACGAGATCATGACCTGAGCTGAAACCAAGAGGCGGACAATCAACTGACTGAGCCCCCCAGCCACTCCTACATGTATTGTATTCTTAAAGTAAGCTAGAAAAGAAATGTTATGAAAATCATAAGGAAAATTTTTACGCAGTACTATACTGTATTGAAAAAAAATCCATGTGTAAGTGAACCCTCCTAGTTTGAACCCATGTTGTTCAAGGGTCACTATGTATAGGGAAACCAGGAATGATGGAATTTTTACATTCCTGATGGATGTTTTTGTAATGTCTTGCCTTTTCAGCAGTTCATGCTCTACACAGATTAATCTCTTCATTGGTCTAAACATGTTTTTTCCCACCCTCCTTTTTTTGTAGTAAAATACACATAGTATAAAACTATCTTAACCGTTTTAAACATACAGTTCAGTGGTACTAAGTGCATTCATATCGCTGTGCATTTGTTACTGTTTCCATGGATGCTTGTGTATGTCCACTTGGTCACTTATCTCTGAACACACTGGTGTGTCACCTAGCACACAGTACTTAATGTCTGATCAAATCCTTCAAGAGGAACTGAGGCTTGTCGTCTCCTCTTAACCGTGGACATTGTAATCCTGTTTGGAAGTCAGGTCACCGTTTGGTTCACATTGTCTTAGCAAGTTATTCTTTGTCACAAGCCTGCTAATAGGTCACATCTTTCCCACCTTTCACTTTCTTTTTTTCTTTATAAAGATTTTAATTTTAAGTACTGTCTATACCCAACATGGCACTTGAACTTATTAAAACCTTGAAATCAAGAGTTGCAAGAGCCAGCCAGGTACCCCCCCATCGTTCACTTTCTTTTTACTTTTTGCTTTTGGAGATTAAGTATATAGTACTTTCTGTTTCTCTCTAGAATTTCACACGAAATCTGGTTTCTGTTCCCAGACTGTTGGGGGTTGCTTTTTCCTTTGTTCTGACTTTTCACTTGCTGGCTTCACTTCTCAATTTTGCTCAGGATGCCTTCATAATAGCCGCATTACTTCATTAGTGACCTTTGTTTATATAGCAGAAATTGTGTGTGTAACTAAAAAATTATCCATCTCTCCTGAATTCTTCATCTCATTCACATGGGTATTATGATTGGAGACATTTTCAAAATGCGTTTTTGAAATCTCCATATAAGTACATGGTCACATTTCTGACCTGCTGCTGTTCTTTGTTGTCGTTGTTTTATTCAGAGAAGAAAGTACAGTTTCTCGGGGAATTTTTACCTGCTCCTAGTAAGTGTTACTTCTTTCACATACTTCTGTATCACCCACTTAATCAGCACTTGACTTTTGTTTGCTGTCCAGTCTATGATTGATATAATTTCCCTTCTGTTCTTTTTTGAAGGAAAAAAAAGGGCCACTGTCTGCCTTAATCTTTTATAGCACCTTTATTGAGATACAATTCACATGCTGTACAGTTCATTTAATGTGTGTAATTAAGTGGTTATTAGTGTATTCACTGATGTATATGACTACAGGCAGTTCTAGAACGTTTTCATCACATCAGAAAGAATCTCCGTATTGTGTAGCTGTCACGTTCCTTTCTCCCATCCACCTTAGCTCTAAGCAACTACTGATCTCTTGTTTTTATATGCTTTTCATCTTTAACACTTCTCTTGTACTATAGGATTTCTCAGATAAGAACAGTTTTACTATTTCTACAAGTCTGTAGATGTGCAGTTCATCTAATTAGGAGCCAGGAATTCATTCATTTAGAGCAGCTAGATGCATTCTTATTATCACTTTCCCTATCTTGAACAGATTTGTTAGACCTTTTCTGATCTGAAAATTATGTTTCTGAATTTATTCACTGAACAAATATTTGAATGCCTCTTATAAGCAAAGCTTCGTACTTAGATGAATGACATAAATTCCTCCCTCATGTAGTTTGTCTAGAAAAATATTCCCATTCCTAAGTGTATTTGTCAATAAACATTTTAAAAATGTGTGTCAGTTATCTCCCTGTGCTAGGGCTGTAAGAGGGAATAATTCTTTCCAACAAGGATCCTGGTGTGATTGGGATGAGGCTGTCATGAAAATGAGTCTATACTACAGTGTGTTAAATGCCATATTAACACATAAGACATTGTGGGAACAAGGTAAAGAGAATATTCAGCAACCCATCAAGGACTAGATAGAGGTTGTTAGACTCTACAAAAGACATCAATTTTGAAAGGAACAGAATTCAGTAGGTAAATATGACAGGTACAGGGAAGAGTATCTTTAAAGGCATTGAGAGTTTTTAAATATATCATTGTTTAAACTAATTTAGTATGGCTAAAGTATCAAGTTTAATAGAGGGCTTAGCAGGAGACAAAGTGGGTTGATATTCTGTCATGGAAGTCTCTGAATATACTTCCTGCAAGGGAGTTTGGGAAATTTTTTTGCTGGTAGTAAGTTTTTGAAGAGGTGAGTAATATGATCAGGTCTTTCTTTCACCATATGATAGGCAGTAAAATGGTAGCTGGATTTGTAGAAAACCATTGTTAGGGAACCTAATGTTAGAAGTAATTACAGCATGAACAGTCTAGATGAGATGTCAGAATCCTTTACCTGTATGGTAGCGCAGGGAATTGGAAAGAAGAGATTGAAGTTCAGACTGACAGTGGAATGGAATAGTATTCTTTTCAACATTTATTATGGTGCAAATACTGAAAACGGAGTCAAAAATTACTCTGAGCCGCCTTTGTAAAAGAGAAGGCACTCTGGAAAAGTAAAGGGTTTGGGTAGGAATGCTAATGAGTTCTATTTTGTATTCTTTGTGAGACTTTCATGTGACATGGCAATGTGTATTTGAGACTTCTAAATTAAGCAGGGCCTTTTAATGTATATTTGGAGACTGTCCAACATAGAGATGTTTAGAGAAAAAGACATGTATTGCCCCCAGGGAAAGGGTGCAGATGGAGAAAAGGATTAAAGACAGAATGGTGGGAAAGAGGGCATGTCTGTGGATGAACCAGAGAATGGACTGGGAATGAAGAAAACTGGGAAAGTTCAGTATTATGAAAAACTGAGGGCGATGGGGGAGTTAGATAAGAGCTGATGGAAGGTATTTAAAATTTGCTCACAGGGGCGCCTGGGTGGCGCAGTCGGTTAAGCGTCCGACTTCAGCCAGGTCACGATCTCGCGATCCGCGAGTTCGAGCCCCGCGTCGGGCTCTGGGCTGATGGCTCAGAGCCTGGAGCCTGTTTCCAATTCTGTGTCTCCCTCTCTCTCTCTGCCCCTCCCCCGTTCATGCTCTGTCTCTCTCTGTCCCAAAAATAAATAAATGTTGAAAAAAAAAAAAAATTTGCTCACAAATTGGGGCACCTGGGTGGTTCAGTGGGTCCGACTTCGGTTCAGGTCATGATCTCGCGGTTCCTGAGTTCGAGCCCCACGTGGGGCTTTGTGCTGACAGCTCAAAGCAGCTGCTCCACCAACCTAGAGCCTGCTTCAGATTCTGTGTCTCCCTCTCTCTCTGGTCCTCCCTTACTCATGCTCTCTCTCTCTTTCTCTCTCTCTTTCAAAAATGACTAAATGTTAAAAAATATTTTTTTTAATTTGCTCACAAATTATGTAGATGATTGTATAATATACATCCTTGATAATTGAGTATTCATAAACGGAATGGATATGTGGAGCTCTTGTGTTGGTACAATTTTAAGAGCATTTTTAGGTTCACGGCAAAATTGAGAGGAAGGTACAGAGATTTCCCATATACTCTCTGCCCCCACACATGTATAGCCTCCCTCATTATTCATATCCCCCACCAGACTGGTGCATTCACTATAATCAGTGAACCTACAGTAATGTGTCCTTATTACACAGAGTCCATAGTTTACATTAGGATTGTCTTTTGTATTGTACATTCTGTGGATTTGGACTAATGTGTAATGGCATAATATCTACCATTATAGTATCATGCAGAGTATTTTTCACTCCCCTAAAGATCCTGTGTGGTCTGGTTTTCTCCCTACCCCCAATCCCTGGCCATAAAGTTGTATTAGGTAAAATAGAAGAGATTACTTGGGCTTAGAACATAAGATTTTAATATTCTTATACCATTGGTAGATTTTTTTTTAACCCATGTATTTGCAGTTCCTAAATGAAAGTATTATTAAGCAGCAGTGGTGTCTAATTTTTTTGTCTCTCTGCTTTTGCCACAGATAATTGGCCTTTTGAATGTTTTCACACCACAGAAATCCCTAGAAGAATTTCAAGATGTGTAAGTGTGATAATTAAAAGTTTACATTCATACATTATTCTTAGATTGTTGCTGTGCACTTTAGCTGTCATCTTTTCTCACCCATGAAGTTACATAGTCATGGAGCTCATGGATGCAAATCTTTGCCAAGTGATTCAGATGGAACTAGATCATGAAAGAATGTCCTACCTTCTCTATCAGATGCTGTGTGGAATCAAGCACCTTCACTCTGCTGGAATTATTCATCGGGTTAGTAGAAAAAATTACCATCATGTTCTTTTTTTAATTATTGAGGTGAAATTCATGTAGCATAAAATTAACCATCTTTTAAAGGGTTCAATTCATTGACATTTAGTACATTCACAACATTGTGCAACCACCACCAATGTAATATTTCAAAATATTTTCATTGCCCCAAAAGAAAACCTCATACCCGTAAAGCAGTCAGATCCTCTCTCCGTCTCTCCCTCCTACACCTCAGCCTCTGGCCTCATACCAATCTGTTTTCTGTGGATTTATCTCTTCTGGGTATTTCATATTAAGTGGAATCATATAATATGTGACCTTTGTCTTCTTTAACTTAGTGTAATGTTGTCAATCTCGTTCATGTTGTGGCATGTATCAATAGTTCATTCCTTTTTATGACTGAATAATATTGCAGTGTATGCATTTACTACATTTTATTTATCCATTCATCCATTAATAGACATTTGGGTTATTTTTACCTTTTAGCTTTTGTGGATAGTACTGCTATGAACATTCATGTACAAGTATTTGTCTGAGTTCCTGTTTTCAATTATTTTGGGTATCTTCCTAGGATTGGATCATATGGTAATTGTTTTTTTAACTTTTAGAAGAACTGCCAAACTGTTTTCAATAGTGGCTATACCATTTTACATTCCTAGCAGCAACATTCCTAGTAGTGAATGTTCCTAGCAGTGAACATTCTGATTTGTCCAAATCTTTGCCAGTACTTAATTGGCTTTTATTCCAACCATCCTAGTGAGTACAAAGTGATATCTCCATGTGATTTGCCTTTTCCTAATGACTAAAGATGTTGAATGTTTTCATAAGCTTGTTGGTCATTTGCATATCTTCATGGGAGAAATGTCTGTTCAAGTCCTTTGCCCATATTTTGATGGGGTTATCTTTTCATTGTTGAGTTACCGAAGTTCTTTATATATTCTGGATCCTAGATACTAGACCCTTATCATATATGTGATTTGTAAATATTTTCTCCCATTTTGTATATTTTCACTTTCTTGATATCCTTTGATGTACAGAAGTTTTTTAATTTTCATGAAATTCAAGTATCAGAATTATGTGGAACTGCTGTAAGGACAGAAACCTAGACCAATGGAATAGGACTAAGAGTCCAGAAATAAAATCACATATCTACTGCCAACTGATTTTCAACAAGGGTGCAAAAGGCCAGTTGGGAAACAATAAGTCTCTAATAAATGATGCTGGGACAACTGGATTTCCACAAGCAAAAAAATGGCTTTGGACCTTCTCTCACATCATACACAAAAATTAACTCAAAATGGGTCAGTAACCTGAACATAAGAGCTAAAACTATAAAATTCTTAGAAGAAAATGCAAAAATAAAGATAATTATTTGACAATGAATTCTTATAGAGGATACCAAAAGCACAATCAGCCAAAGAAAAAACTAATTTTGTAGTAAGTTTTGAAATGGGGAAGTGTGAGTCCTTTTAAATATTGTTTTGACTCTTCAGGACCCCTTGTGATTCCATCTGAATTTGATTATCAGCTTTTCCATTTCTGCAGAAAAGTCATTGGAAGTTTATTTATTTATTTTTTTAGGTTTATTTATTTATTTTTGAGATGGGGGTGGGCAGAGAGAGAGAATCCCAGGCAGGCCTGGCACTGACAGCACAGGGGCTGAAACTCATGAGCTGAAGTCAGATGCTTAACCAACTGAGCCACCCAGGCACCCCAAGCCATTGCAGTTTTAATAAAGATTTCATTCATTGGGGGTACCTGGGTGGCTCAGTTGGTGAAGCTCCCAACTCTTGATTTTGACTCAGCCCTTGACTCCAGGGTCATGGGATTGAGCCCCACATAGGGCTCTTTGTTGACAGCAGGGAGCCTCCTTGGAATTTTCTCCTTCCCTCTCTGTCTCTGCCCTCCCCTGCTTGCTCGTGTGCATGCACACATTCTCTCTCTCTCTCAAAATAAATAAAAATAAACTTAAAAACAGAGATTTCATTCATTGAATCTGTAGATTGCTTCGGTAGTTTTGCCATCTTAACTGTATCTAGTATTTCAGTTCATGGATGCTGAATGTGTATCTTTCCAGTTACTTAGGTTGTATTAGTCTGCTTGGGCTGCCATAACAAAATACCACAGACTCAGCAGCTTAAACAGCAGCTATGAAATTGCCCTCTGAGCTCTGCTTTTTCTTTATTCCCTAAATTTTTATATGTTGTGTTTTCATTTTCATTCATCTCTAAGTATTTTCTAATTTCCCTTGTGAATTGTTCTTTGCCCCATTGGCTGTTTGAGAGTATGCTGTTTAATTTCCACAAATTTGTGACTTTTCCAGTTTTCCTTTTTCTTGATTTCTGGCTTCATTCCATGGTGGTCAGAGAAGATACACTGTATGATTTCAGTCTTTTAAAATTTATTGAGACTTGTTCTGTCACCTAACATGTAGTCTGTTCTGGAGATTGTTGCATGTGCAGTGTTTTTGGAGGGAGTATCCCATATATGTCTGTTACATCTAGTGGGTTTATAGTGTTGTTCACATTCTTTATTTCCTTATCTTCTGCATAGTTGTTTGTCCATTAATGAAAGTAGGTATAGATATCTTCAACTGTTATTGTATAACTATCTGTTTCTCCCTTCAATCATGTCCATTTGTGCCTATATTTTGGAGCTTTGTTGTTTATAATTGCTGTCTCTTCTTGAGGGATTGATGTTTCTGTTAAAATTTATTGTCCTCCATTGCCCCTTGTAACAGTTTTTGTTTTTAAGTTTTATTTTTATTTAAGTAATCTTTCCACCCAACGTGGGGCTTGAACTCACAACTCTGAGATCAGGAGTTGCATGCTTTTGCTACTGAGCCAGCCAGGCACCCCCCCCTCCTGCCCCCCGCCCCACCTTGTAACAGTTTTGACTAATAGTCTATTTTGTCTGATACTAGGTTAGCTATTCCACCTCTCTTTTGGTTTCTGTTGGCTTGAAATATCTTTTTCCGTTCTTCCACTTTGTGCCTTTGAATCTAAAGTGAGTCTCCTTTAGAGTCTCTTAATAGGATCAATTTTCTTGTATCCCTTCTGCTGTTCTCTGGTTTTTACTTGGAGAGTTTAATCTATCTACATGCAATGCAATTATTGATAAGGAAGAATTCACTTCTGCCACCATGCTGTTTTCTCTGTTTCGTATCTCTTTGTTTCTCAATCCTTCCATTGCTGCTTTTTTTGTGTTTAATTGCTTTTTTAGTAGTGTGCCATTTGATTCTTTACTCATTTCCTTTTCTGTGTCATCTTCAGTCATTTTCTTAAATGTTACCATTGGGATTGCAAATTTAGTCTCTTCAATTTATAACAGAATCTATTTTAGATTATTACCACCTTACCCTCAATAGCATACAATAGCATACAAAAACTCTACTCCTGTATACAGTCTGTTCTTCCCCCATTATGTTGTAGTTGTCACAAATTAAGTATTTATACACTGTGCCCAATAAGATAGATATGTTATTATTGTTCAGTGCATTTGCCTTTTAAATCATATGTGGGGTGGGGGTGAATAGGAGTTAGAAACACAAAACACAGTAATACTGACCTTTGTTATTTACCTATGTAACGACTTTTACCAGTATTCTTTATTTCTTCTTACAGCTTCAGTTTACTATTTAGTGTCCTTTTATTTCTACCTGAAAGACTCCCTAATTTAGCATTTCTTATAGGGCAGGTGTAACTAACAACAAACTGCCATAGCTGTATCTCAGAGTGTCTTAAGTTTCTCCTTTACTTTTGAAGGACAGTTTTGCTAGATACAGAATTTTTGTTTGGATTTTTTTTTCTTTTAGCAGTTTAAATGTGTCTTTTCACTGCCTTTTGGCACCTGTGATTGCTTTTGAGAAATCAGTTGTTAATACCATTGAGGATCTCTTATAAGTGACAAGTTGCTTCCCTCTTGACTCATAAGATTCTCATTTTGTCTTTGGCTTTCAACGGTTTGATTATAATATGTCTCAGTGACGATCTCTTTGCTTTTATCCTTGGAGTTTATTGAGCAGCTTGGATGTGTAGATTTATGACTTTCATTAAATTTGGATGTTTTCACTCATTTTTTTCAATTTTTTTTCTACCCCCTTTTCTTTTTCCTCTTATTTGAAACTTCCATTATGTGTATGTTGTATTCTTGAATATATACCACATCTTGTTTTCTTCAACTTCAGTGTTTTGTCACAGGCAGAATAGGTTATTCAATTGTCTTGCAGTGTTTTTGAGAAATGCCCCCTGTCTAGCCCAAGACAAGAGTCCCACACTGAGAATGCGGGCAGCCAAGAAGATGGGTAGGACAGGACTAGTAAAAACACCACACTCTTGCCTATTGTTTTTTAAGTTGCCTTTGTCTCAGTTCTATGTTTACTTGGTTGTTGTGAACATTTGACTGTTTTCCAGATTTCTGAAAAAGTATTCTGATCCATTTTGCTCTGCTTTTTGGCGTTTCTGTGAAGCAGTCTACTCTTCCATTTTTGCTGACATCACTGTCTTTAATCATATTTTGGGGCGTTGTACTTCACGGGTTTATATGGAGTAGAATAAGCTTAGTTTTGCTTTGAAATGAAGCAGTATATAAATATCCTGCTATCATTACCAATGATATAAAACTGAGTATTCATCAGAGTTGTTTCTCAGATGTTCAGAAATATTATATATTTTTGTAATCTGTTTTTAACTGATTTATTGACATGTAATTCCCATACCATACAATTTATGAAGTGTATAATAATTATTTACTATACTCAAAGGTTGCACAACCGTCACCACAATCTAATTTTGGAACATTTTCACCCCACTTAAAGAAATCCTGCACCTGTTAGCCTTCCATTTCTGTTATTCCCTGTTCCCTTTGCCCCCAGCCCCACACAACTACTAACCTACTTTCTGTTTCCATATATATGCCTGTTCTGGACATCTCTTACAAGTGGAATTGTATATAATATGATCTTCTGTGTCTGGCTTCTGTTCCCTAGAGTAATGTTCTCAAGG